GAGACTGGTGCTGCTGGTGTTCTTGGTGAGCAATCAATTTCTGTTGACGTTGACAACAAGGCAAAAGTCCGGCTAAAGTTAAGGCCAAAAAAGAGACGGTCTTGGGGTGTGGAGGCCAAGGCAGATGAGATGAGACGCGAACGAGGCAACAAATCAAAGTCGATGCCACTGCCGATGCCTCTTAAGACGCCTGTCGAATTGTTCTGGACGTTAAGGCTCGCCACGCTCCCTTCGACTATACCCGACTGCAATATCTCAATCTTAAGTCTGCTGCGGTTGAAGTGTATTTAAAAGTTTGATTAGTTTTTAATGTTTGTAGGGCAAGTTTTCCTTCATCATCTTTACTTTTTTTTTGTTGAATTTTTGTAATTTCAATAAAGCTGATTCGATTTGCGGTTGGTACTTTGTGTATCTGCATCTAAATGTGTTAGCATATACTTCCTATTCAGCCATAAGCGAACTAATCACAAGCATATTGCATAAAATAGCAATTTCATAAATTGAAACATTTGTCTAGACACATTGTTCGCCGCCCATTTGAAATTTTATGAATAAAATTATGCAAATTGCTTGCGTTTTAAAATACTGCCTTTGCATCGTATGCTTTTCAAATACAAAGACTAACAATTCAATACACCAAAATTTGATCAATTCTTGACAATTTTACTGGTTACAAAACAAACTTATATTTTCTGCAGAAATTTTATTGCGAAAATTCCCATTCTTAGTTTGAAAGTAAAAAAAAGTAATTTGAAAGTTCAAACCTGTTCGTTGAACCAAATTCTGAAAAGATAATTACTCTTTTAGCATCCAGGTGACTGTAATTGAAATGGTTTTTAATCGTGTGCTTCCAGTACATGAAAATCTTTTGCCTGCCATCTGGCACCTTTCAGCAGTTGAATTACAATATATATTATATGTATGTAGGGAAAAAGGCCCTCTCTTAGATGCAGTCATAAATTATGAATTATGAATGTCAAGGTGCCTATGTACGTGTGTGGCCCGAGGACTTCGTCCTTTCCTTTCCATTTTGTTCCTTGTTGGGCCTTTCTCGTCCCTCGGGTCCAATAATATTAAGAGGCCGCCGGCCCGCAGGGGAGGGGAAAAACCTTGGGCCAAGTTAATAGAAACACTTTCGGTGTATGTGTGTGAGTGCAGAAGTTATAAACATTTATGGCAGCTACTTAAAAATGTCAAGCGAAAAAATTATGATAATGATACGTGACATTTGAAAGCAATAACAATTTAGTTAGCACGCACTTTTTGATTACTCTTCCTTTTCATCGCATCCAGCCATTCCTCTTCTGTTCGGCATCGACCTTCTACTTTGCTTTGGCTTTCCTTTATTATTTATGACTTTTGTTCACATAAAATGGAAAAATTGCTTAAAAAATTGGGCTCATATACATACGAGAGTGGGTGTGCCAAAATGAAATGCTTCCGCATTTTTGCGGTGTATAAGTAGAGGGTGTCAGGTACTTTACAATAATAATTTGTTTATGGGTAAACGCAGATGCGATCATAAAGCGGGTTTTAATTCCTATACTCTTTCATAAATTCAAGCCTAACGTCTAGTCCATAGGCTGTAATATAGCCCTGTGTTAAAATTTGCCAATATTTCAAAATATTTTTGTAATTTATCATTAGCTGAATTAGTTAAGCTTGACACTCTTTTTTATTTTAGTACCCAACATAATGAAGAACTTGATGTTAAACGTATTAAAATAAAAACCAAAATACCTTCAAAATTGAATGTTACCCTTTACATTGGCTTACCAAGCTAAGCTCCTTTGGCTCAATCCGTGCTTTTAACTTTAACAACTGCCGGGTGTGTGGGGTGTGTTAATTTTTCACCAATTGTCATGGTTACGAAATTAACCAAAAATGCAGAGAAAACTGGGCTAGGATCCGGGCGCAAGCAGATCCTCTGAGGAAGGCGGGCAAACAAACCAGCAGCAGTAGCAGCAGCCAGAAGCCAGCAACCAGCAACCAGCAGTGTGGCAGTGGCAACAACATGAACAGCAAAGCACACATCCTGTGTGTCAACTGAATAATTCGTTGCATGCACAAAAGGCATGCACTCACATCCGGTTTCCTGTCATTCTTTTGCTTTTTGCATTTTGCTTTTGCTTTTTGCTTGCCAGAGACAGAAAGGGCCGACCAACATTTGCTGGTAGTAGAGTGGAGTGGAGTGGAGAATGGCCAAGCCTGCAATTTATGTCTATGTATTTGCTGTTGTTGTCTTTATGGCGTGTTCGGTATTTGTTGCAACTTTTGTTTTGAATTCCTGCGGCCTTGTCACACGGCTCCATGAGCTCCCAGTTAAATTTATGTTTCATCCCGCACACACACAGGCCCAACTCTTAACGAACAATGAGTGAGGCAGAGCAAAAAAAGTGTTGAATGCATCATGGGGGCATGTAGCGGGCTTGGGTCATAGGTCTTCTGGGATGGCGACGCGTCGTCCGCTTTTGTAAAGCAGCGTATAATCCACTGATTGCTCCCAAGGTTCAGCTTTCAACAATGAAGGACACAGCACATACACGGAGCGAAAATGGGTGGTGCAAATGTGAAAGATGGGGCAGCGAGGAGGGTAAGAGTGATGACGGGAGACGTTACCTCAGCTATAGCTGTCGGGTCAACGGATGTGCTGCACTTCGCTGCTGCAGGTCGAGCTGTTTCAGCATGGTAGGTCCTTCAGCTTTTCGATCTGATAAGCATATAAATTATAGATTTAATTAGAGTATTATTTTAGTGAAGGTCGCAAGGATAATAATTTTGTTACTTTAAATTCGATTCAGGGCTTCTTAACACTTTTGAGTTGGTTTCAAATTATTTCTTATTAGAGTTTCAATATAAGCAGCTATTAAATTTGAACAAGATATCTTTTTCACCACCCTTAAGTCGCTTCGAAAGAGCATTACATTTTCGATAAACAGTGGTTCTTCATAGCACCCCCTGGACCAACATCCTGCAATTCTAGGTATCCTTTGTGTGTCCGCTGCAATGTCGCTGAATGACATCGCACCTGGCCTGTTCGAGGCTTGAACTTTCCATAGCCAAAGTCCCCATCTGGAGTCCCTAGCCAGTATTAATTTTGCATATGAATACGAGCACTATGGACCACTGGATGTGTCCTTGTTGTCAGCTCTGCGCATTGCCGCTACTCTTGCTACTTTTCCCAGCATTCTCATTCATGTAGCTACTTTTCTTCGCCCTCGCGTCATGTTTATTGCATGCAATAAATTTAAGAAAAATATATCCATCTAAGCCCATCAACCAGCCCAAAAGTGCTACAAGTTCTTTAAGCTGTTAAAATTGTGTGCGTTTGGAGGGCAAAGCTCGATTTTCCCATCAATTTCTGTTGAAGTCTTAGCCTTAGCCAATTAGCTGTCGCAGTTGGCTCATTAGTAAGACGAGAGGAAAATCGCAGGATTTCCGGAACGCAGAGTAGGTATGAGAAAATTTGGCAGCTGTTAAACTAGAAACCTGAAACCATGTACAAAGGTTTTCAGTTTTCCACGTGGCTGCCGTTGCTATGAAGAGGGAATTGTGTTAAATAGTTCAAAATCTGATATGATGTTTGATAGAGATATAAAATGAATAAAAAGCTGCTAATCGGTTATACACAAGTTATTCTTGGAATTAAAAATGGTTATATTCCAGCTAAATCAAAGTATAATCCACCCTTTCCATCAAATAACATAGATACCAAAGAAGTAAGGTCTTTAATCGAATCCCCGAAAGTATGCAACGATTATTCGATTTTAAAAGTCTAAATGATAGAAATTTTTTGCTGTTGATTTCCATTTGCTATTGCCAGCGCTGGCTTCATTAGACTGACTCCCAAGTAAATCAAGTCAGGCTGCAAACGTAGCAGAAAAATTAAAATGATATACACTACGCACGAGTATGCACAGGTGAACCGAAGAATGTTTTTACACACTCCACCTGGAAAAAAGGGGCCACAAATAAAGCTGCCAACTCGGCAGTTGTGTTGCACTGCACCGCATTTAAGTAAAATGAATTGCTTGCAATTTATTTTTGTTGCTTATCATATAAATTGCACTCGCTCGCCTGCAAGTCATTATTTGGCACATTTGCGCTCAATGACTGCACATTGTTTCTACATCGTAGTCCTACTCCTCCTCCTCCTCGACACAGTGTTAAATAGGAGTGACGAACCGGAAGTTTCCAGATACAACAACTGCTGACCCAGTGGGCCAGTCCTCTCCAGTTGGCCAGAATATACCTGGTCAGTTGGTCTTTTACACTTGACTGCATTTTCGAACCGCCTGCTGGAGCAACATTCGAAGACACCTGAAAATGCCACTTAAGCATTTGCAGTTTCTTTATTTTCCCACCACTGGAACACTCTACCCAACACCCACTCGAATAAATTTCCGGTTTGTTTTCCAACATTTTTGATTTACGCAACGGAATATGGAGTGCTTCGAGAAATTACATTCTTACGAACTAAAATAAAAGCTAACGTTGTATCTTTACTGAAATGATATCCGTATATATTTTACCTTAATGATTATATTATTAAAAGTTAATTAAGAAATTTCTTATTATCGATTTCAATATAATTTGACTTTATAGATATTCTAATCAAAAACTTGGAATTCAAATGAATTGCGGCAATTAACAAAAAACAGAACCAAACTGGAAACTGTAAATTTTAATCTCATTAGCGTTGAAAGCCAAAATATTGGGCAAGAATAAACAAACCATACACTGAAAGAAAACATTTAAAATCAAAATAATTTCATAAATTCACACAAAGATCTAGTCAAATTGTTGACAAAAAAAAATGCGATTTATATAAAATTCTTAATAAATTAATATTTTTCATTTAAATGTAGTATCTGGTGTGGACAATGGCATTTAAATAAATCGGAAAGTGGTTTCTTTAAGTGCTTTTGATTTTATTTTGATTGCTTTTATTTCGTAACCTAATCTCGAACTGGTATATAAGCAAGACCAGTAGGCTCCCAGCAAATTCATAACAACAATCCAACTTGGCGACAATGGACTTCAAGTGCTGTGTAAGTTCAGAGCTACATGAAGCTGAATCTATAGACGCGACACGAGTGTGACCCCGTTTCTGATTAATAATACTTCTCTGCAGCTGATATTCCTATCGCTTTTGCTCGCCGGCGTTATGGGCCGTCCAGAGACAGCTAAGCCACGCCCCACGCTGCCGCCCTGCACGCCCTGGTGCGCCGGACAGCCCCCACCGCCACCGGGAGCGGTTAACTGACTTTTTACCGGGATTGTGATCTCTTATGAAAAATAAATAAAATTTAAAGAATACATTTTTGTAATAACTGATTTGTATTTAAGCCAAGTTGTTTATCCAAAGCATTTGTCCATTTTGACCAATTTTGTAATTATTTATTACTTCAAGGCGTTTGTCACATTATAGCACTCTTGAACTGCCTTTTTTAGTTCTTTTCTAATTATGACCACTGGGTGATGGACTGAAAGGCGGTACACCTCCGTGTGCCCCAGGGATTTGATAATTCTGATTACTTCTTAGAGCTGCGCCGGCTTAGTTGTTTCGTGTAGTAACTTTGGTAGTGCAATTTTTATTGCCATCGTGATAATGTATGCAATGAGTATGTGTGCATTTATATGAACCTGTATTCCAGTCACAAGAGTACCGGTTAGTTACAGGAGTTCCCATGGATATAATTCTAGGACCTCCTGAAACATTTGGACTCGTAACGCTGGTGGAGCAATTTTCTTTACCATCGAAGGAATGTGAGCACCGCACATGGGTGCATTTGTATTGACCTGTATTCCAGTTACAGGAATATCGGTATGATGATCCAGGAAAGACCAATGCTGTGGCAATGGTCACAGTGGCGACTAGCAGAAGCTGAGATTTAAGTTTATTATTATATATATATATCTTAGAATCCTTTGACTCTTACTTACCACAGATTGCATCTTGTATATAAAATGAGCTTATTCTTGCAATCTTTGCCTTTTATAGTGAAATCAGTAAGGTGTCTGCATAAATCATGGGATACCCTTTAACAATATTTCCCTCTTACAATATTTCTTTTTTTTATATAAAGTTTGGCTATAGTACCAGGTTGAAAATTCATGTGGTCTTAGGAAAGGTTTGTTTATATTTTCTTTATTGATGAATTATTTATGTTATACATGGCTCAGTTGATTTTGAAAATAAAAACACTCTTACCTTAAAAAGAGTATTGACAGTTTCTCCGAGAATTAAACTTTTATTGCTTGAATGTTTTTAACAAGAACTTACTGTTGTTGCAAGAATTCTCAATGATCGGGGAATCAGAAAAACATTTTTTTTTTTAATTTTATATATAAAACAAATTTGCGGAAAGTACAGGGCTTTATCAGGGAATATGATCTGGAAATAACTCATATTTTGTAATCAAAGCAGAACTTAAAAAATACAATATACAATTATGCTTATATATATACAAAAGTAAGCATTTGTACTTTCCCAAAAATAAAATCAAAATCAACACCAGTATTTGGTTGTGAATTCATGGTACTTTAATGCAGTTTGTCAAATTAATTATACAATTACTTATAATGATTTTTACGTTAATACATATATGTATTAAAAGTCAAATTAAAGTGTAAATATTTATTAATCAAAATCGGGAATATTGTCCGGACCATCAACATAATCGTCTACGTTGACATTTCCTTGAGAATTGTACCCAATAGTTTTAATTGAGTTTTGAGTTGGATTAAAGTTTCTTCCATTGTTATGTGTGTTAACTGTTTTCGTAGGTGAGTACCCTACTAAAACATTATTTCCATTGTTGTTAAAACTATGTTGGTTTCCGATATATCCATTTCCTTGCGATCCATATCGTATTGGTCTTAGAGTTGTGATTGGTGATTGATTTCCAAAACCGTTGTTAGGTTTACTTTCCAATCCATTGTTACCAGAATGACCTCCACTCTTTATAAATGGGCAATTAACTACACCATTGTACTTGGTGCAGGGAACGCACTCTCTTTTTCCATTTTTGATCGAGCAGAAAATTTGGGATGTGAAATTATACTCTTCGTCGACTTCGGCAATGGTAAACCCAATTACCATTAAAGCTACTGAAGCAATCTGTAATAAAATTATGTAACACAGAATTCAAAAATTGATTTCAGATCGCTCCCATGTCTAGTGCTCACCAATAGTTTCATCATACTAATAACAAGATTTCTCTTTATTACGCTTGTTTTATACTCCAAAATGTAGATTAAACTTTATATATTTTCATTTTTATAAATTTACAAATATGTGTGCTCCAAAGGGAAAGCTATAAATCTGTGTTCTGCTTTGACTCTGCATGAACAATATTTCAGAAATTTATATGTGAGAGAATACTCTTATCATGAATTTTATATAAGTAAAGAACTCCGCATATATAAGACGTTCTCTGAATTTTCTGACTCATAAGATGATATGGCTAGAGCGACTGAATTCCTAATAGAAAATGTATTTACTTTATCTTACCTTCTTACTTTTTAACTCTTCAACTTGACCTATATATCAGAGCATAATAAATAAAAAAATTATCGGACCTATTTAAGATTTATTTATTTTCTGTATTTTTTATGTAGTCGACCCTTTAGTAGCGTCCCCTACCACCTTGCTGACCCTGTCCTCCCTGGCCGAATCCTTGTTTGCCACGACCGCCTTGCTGGCCCTGTCCTCCCTGGCCAAATCCTTGCTGACCCTGTCCTCCCTGACCAAATCCTTGCTGGCCACGACCTCCTTGCTGGCCCTGTCCTCCCTGGCCAAATCCTTGCTGGCCCTGTCCACCTTGTCCACGTCCTCCGGCGGCAAGGACCACAGCGATCAAGGCGAGGAAGAAAACAATCTGAAACAGAAAGTTAAACTCTGTGATCCTTTCAAGGTGTTAAAGAACTTACAAAGAATTTCATTTTGGTAAATTGTTTGCTTAGAGTGCTGAAAACGTTCTAATTGAATCGAAGTCGATCGTTAGAGCTTTTATAGGAAGGATGTGATTCCATGCAGCTGTCACTTTCAAAACAAATATATTATATTTTTAGTTTTCGCTTGTCACACTTGGATTATTTCAGTGCGATGAGATGACATAAATTTCAGCAAATCATTGACCAAGCCTTAACTCACCAGGGAAGAGACCTTTAGCCTGATCTTGCTTCTTGTTTACTTGTCTTGTTTGTTTTGGTTCTAATTAGCCGAGAACCGAATTAAAGTGTTTGTTATTTTCCATTCCAAGAGTTTTTACTTGATCATAATTTTTCAAGTATTTATTGCGCTGAAATGATAGTGTGCTTTTAGGCTGCACTCTTGCTTATGGGCCAAGAACCAATATAATTTTAATATATTAAAATTTTTAATCTAAGTAATCCAATTTATTTACAAGCGTTTCTAGAAGTAAAAAAACATCAAATCATTCTTGTTATGGAGAGTCTTCGAACTTATTTGTATATATTTGCAGGAAGTGGTAAGAATTCAAGTAAAATTTTACTACACACCACTTCCTTTTCCGTTTGATAAAGCTTTTCCGTTCGAAGGCATCGGTTGAGACCTTGCTACTGAAACTCTGCTTCTAGACGTCGCAGCCATGAGGGAAATTTCCCCTTACTGCCCGCTCTTGTGAGTAATCTATTAACCTTTAATCCAAGAAGTCTTCGCCAACACAAACTAAATCTGATGATGTAGAATTGGAGATTCCCAATATAATATATAAGTATATATAAGTATGAAATCTTATTTACTGTCAAACAACAAATAATTGCTTGCAACTCTTCAGTAATCTCATTCTGGGTGATGCTTTGACTTGTAGAAGAGGAATGTCGTCAGTAGAATGTTGATAAGAAAATTTTAAATTTTAAAAATTCCTTGAAATTGTGAAATTTAACGCCAATAAAAGAGAATTTTTCGGTGTTTATTGTCTTGTTATAAATAACATACCCTTAAGAAGTGAAAAAGATAAGTAGGATTTAATTTATGACAAGGCTTGTAAAAAGTTTTTTTCCCGTTACTAAAATAAAAATTTTTAATATAAAAATTCTGCTTTATTAAATAAAAAAAAGTGATTAACATATGAATTTATCTTATCCATAATAATATGGAGACGCCCTCAAATCAACGATTTCGTATTTGCTCCCAATTTTTGTTCCTTGACTATCGTTGCTTTCGGTATCTGAATTTTTACCACCACTGCCTCCACTTTCGGGAGGTGGAACACCTTTACCAGGATCCGGTCTACCACCTTCTGTAGATCCACCGGATGGATAGTAGCTGCCGGGATATCCATGATTGTTCCAATCTCCTGGATACCGCCATGGGCCGGGATTGTTCCAGCCAGGATTTGGTCTTTGCCAGGGTCCCGGTTGTTGCCAACCTCCGGGTCGTTGCCATCCACCCGGTCGTTGCCAACCTCCCGGTCTTTGCCAACCTCCTGGCTGTTGCCAACCTCCCGCGTAATGCCAATTATTCTGATTTGGCCACCTATCAAAATTGTTTGGTCTTTCATTTGTTCCGCCAAACACACCTTCTTCGTAAGATCCTCCACCGCTTCCCTCGTACAATTCTTCTTCATGTCGTCGACAGCTCGCTAGCGTAAACGCCAAGCCAATTAAGCATATCATAAACTGTCAGGATAAATTTAATAAAAATAGTTAATAAACGATGTTATTGGTCAGATCTTTTGTACTTACTAGCAAATTCATTTCGCTTCGAATTCAAAATGCATTTTTCAGAACGCGAATGCATGGTATTTATACCTTCATTATATATATTGAGGAGAAGATAATGACAGTTCCAGGAATATGTACTATATATTTTGAAAAACAAACAATCTTATTTTGTCTTGTATGACCGTTTGACAAAAGTTTGAAAATATCTGTATTCATCATAATCAACATTGATCAGGAAGCTTTAATTTTACCGACATCATGATTTTATGTAAAATTTCTACAGTCCTATAAAAAATGTTATATTTTTTTTTTTTGGTTTCTTTTGTAGCAATGAGAAAGAAAAGAATTCTTTTAAGGGTTTTTTGTTTTCAATATATTTTATTCAGTCGATCTTTTTAGTAACGTCCGCCGTGTCCTCCTTGCTGGCCGTGTCCACCCTGGCCAAAACCTTGCTGGCCGTATCCACCCTGGCCAAAACCTTGCTGGCCATGACCTCCCTGGCCGAATCCTTGTTGGCCATGTCCTCCTTGTCCAAATCCTTGCTGGCCATGTCCTCCCTGACCAAAACCTCCCTGGCCATGTCCTCCTTGTCCAAATCCTTGCTGGCCATATCCTCCCTGGCCATATCCTTGCTGGCCATGACCTCCATAGCCATTGGCCAAGACCACGGCGATCAAAGCAAAGAAGACAACCTGCGAGAATAAATGATAAAGAATATCTTTAAAATCTTTAAAAACCTTATAAATCCTTTAAAGAACTTACGAAGAATTTCATTTTGGTTGATTGTTTGTTTGTTTACACTGTCGAAAGCGTTCTAACTAATTCAGTGTTAAGATGGAGGGCTTTTATAGCAAATGATCGACTGCTTGCAGCGTCCGACGACAAAACAAGGTAATTAATTCAGTTGTTTGTTTTTTATTGTTCATGATTCCCTATCGAAATCTATATACCCCAAGCTGAATTCGTTTGTCGTAATTAGATTAAAAGTCTGCGATGATGCTGCAGAATTCCAGCCCGACATCGACAAGGCTGATTTCTGATCAGGGATGAGGACCTTTAGCCTGATCTTTCTTTTTCATTAATTTGTTTGCTTATTTCGGAGCTGATTAGCTAAGCGCCGATTGAAAGCTTTCTTATTTTGGATCAAATTTACAATAGTATATTAACTGGCGAATAATATTTTAAGTGTTGGAGTTGTATAGTATTCTTTTAGGCTGACTTCGTTTTTATTTACAGCGTAAAAAAATTATGATAGCTCTAAATGCATAAATAGCTTCGCGTAAAGAACTTAGAATGTATAGCTCTTTTTACTTCAACTATTTGTTTTTAAAAAGAAAGAATATGTTAACTTTAACCCTGAGCTTAATCATCAATTTATCATTAAATACAATATGATTATTGTGTTAATGTACTTAAAATTGCAGATTGTTCTTGAGTAATATTGGGCAATACACAGCTGCCTTGGCACGCTATCAATGCGTGGAAATATAAAAGAAATATTATAAAGTAATCACAACGTGGTCCTCTAAGTCGCCCATGGATTTTTCTAATCTTTTACATTGGCTTGAAGCCAGATGAGGCCGGTTTTTGCTGATACGTTCAACATCGAAGGGTTGTCAAATTTGGGCATAGGCTTCTTATCAGTGGTCAAACATTAAATCCCCAGACGTATGGAAATTTTCGCCTTTGTTTATTTTTTTTGGGTCAAATGTACTTAGGTCCGTCTGGGATTTGATAGTAAGTTGTGTTTGTGACGACATATTGAGATTGCCGCGGAGTATAAAAGAACCTCGGGGACCGAATACATCATTCAAAACAGCGAGAACAACCAAAGCATCAGCACCATGAAATTTTTGGTAAGTTCTTCAGAATCTTTAAAATGGTAGATCGACGAAACTAAGTGGTTTTCATTTTCTGGCAGATCCTCTTCTTTGCCCTCTTCGCCGTGGCGGCTGCATTACCACAATGGGGTGGAGGATTTGGTGATCAACAGCAACAGCAGCAGGGAGGATTCGGCGGTGGATTCGGAGGTGGATTTGGTGATCAACAGCAACAGCAGCAGGGAGGATTCGGAGGTGGATTTGGATTTGGTGATCAACAGCAACAGCAACAGCAGGGAGGCTGGTTTAGACGCGCTATTCACTGAATAAGAAATGCAAAAGCGCCGACAAACAAAAAACATTAATAAAAATCTGAGTTATTTTTCACACCAAAACGAATTGATTTCTTATTTTCATAAGACATTCACATAGGTTTTCAACCGCACATTTGATTTTAAGTTTTTTCTAGTCATGGTTTAGAAGGTCCATACAATGAGAAATATCATATCAAATTATGAGGTGACTTTGACGTAGACTTATGATGTGATTTCTTATAAAATTCAAGTTTTCTGAAATAACTTTTCCGGTTGAAATAAATACAAATTGGTTTTATTTTGTATTAAAATATGTTGCATCAAAATTGCCGTTAATATTACAATAACTTAGAAATTGATTAGTAGATGTTGCCGCCTTAGAACTAACAAAGTTGGTTTCTTTTCTTAAAATGAAGACAAATAATTTAAAATGTTTGCTTTCAGAAATAATTTTCATATTTTTTGTTAAAATTAAATTTTAATAATATAAATATAATAAATATTTGCACGAAAATTTAGATGTTTTTTGATTGAAAAATAAACAAAACCACAAAATAACAAAGACAAAATTCTTCATTGGCCTAATCAATGGCCTCCTCCGACTTGGCTTTTCTTTCTTCCGCCAGCTGTCCCCGTCCGTCATTCAGATCAAACCCATACTTGGGTGTGTCCAAGAGCTGGACCTCCCCCTCCGATCCGTTCATCTGGGTGGCCTGCCAGGCCCTTGTCCACGGCAAGGACATTACCGACATGACCTTAGACAGGCCACGATGGCATTCCTGTTCCCGATCACGGTCCCAGTCCAATTCACGCCTACTTCCGCTACCCGTCTCCCTATCTTGCGGCAACAGTAGTTCCTCGCAGCACAGCATGGAGACCATCAAGTGCTCTGCAAATAGGGCGTGCCTCCTACGTTGACTACTGACCAATTCTGGGTCCTGGCACCGAAGCTCCTGTTGCGCGATCCATTCCAGCAGTAGATACTGCTGCGGTTGTTCTGTCGGTGATTCTACGACAGTCACGCTGAGGGTCGGGGTATCATTATTGGCTACCTCCTCTGTTGGCTCAATATTGCTGGCCAGCTGGGGATCGGCGAGCCAAGGGCCAGTCGACAACTGTAGGATCACACCGGATCTCCTTGACTGCGCCTGTTGAGGCTGCTGCTGCTGCTGCTGTGGTGATTGTTGCTGCTGCTGCTGTAATTGGCGACGTCGTCGGATGCGATTTCGGGCAATTATCCGGCGCAGTGGTGGTGTGTCGGGCTCCAGCAAATTGGCATGATCGATATGGTTGAGCAGTAGGTGGCGCGATAGGTTGCGAATTGCTATTAGCTCGATGCCCGGAAGGCCGGCACACATGGGGCAAACCACATGGCCATCGGCCAACCGATGTTGCCCACAGACGTGCTCGATAAACCGCTTAGCCGTGTGCCCAAATTGGCCGCAATACGGACAGGTGAAGCAATTGGGCAGGTGCACCAGCTCCGGCACTTCGCCGTTTTGGAGCAAATCATGCTCCCGATCGTCCTGGTCGAGAATCAGTTGCATGGGGTGATCGATGCGATGGTATAGCGTCTCCACCTGCTGGTCGTAGCAATCGCCGCACAGGTCATAGTTCGCGCAGCGTAAACACCGAAAGCGACGTCCTGAGAAATTCTCCCTCTGACAGCCGTCACAGCAAATGTTCCGGTGGCCCATCGTCGATCCTTGCTTAAACTTTGGTCGAAAAACTATGCAAAAGGGTTTGGAATTTCTACTATTCGAATCAAAACAATGACATTTTTTCCTCAATATGCTCGGATGTTGACTTTATAGTTTTCGATATTTAACTAGCTCATATCAAAGAGCCTTCTCGGCACTGTAATATTTTTTGTTATCTGTAATAAGTTTCAATACACGTGTCGGGCTTACAAACGATAACAGTAAAATATATTTGCCCAGCCCGTCCGATAAGAAACTTAATAATCCTATTGTTGACCTTAAAATCAACTTTATCTCGAGTCAGAAAAAAAGCAAGCCTCCTGAAAGCGAATAGCTGATAGTAAGTCAAAAAACATGTTCCATTATCATCAATGATTTCACTTAAGAAATAATCTTTAAATATTTAAATCTGCTCAAGCATTTTTTTTTATTATTTAAGTTTTCAAAATAAATAATCGTGAAATTATAATAAAATTTTGTGTGGGAATAATCTTCCAAGAAATATACTTATATATATTTATTTAATTAGGCACCCAGTCAGTAATGGGTTAAGCACATTGGTTCTAAATGTGGCAGTTGTTCCCTTCGTGGTTCTCCTGTCTCTGTCTCTTTTTCACTCTCCATCTCGCTCTGTTCTTTTCAATTTTCCAAGCTGGGTGCGCGGCAATTGTAATGGAAGTCTTCCGGCTTCGTGCACCTCCGCCTGAGTCCCTCACCCTTTTCGGAGTCCATCCTGGTGGATACAATGCACGCAGAAAAATAAAGGCACAAAATTGAGAAGCTCAGCTCATACTTTGGGAAAATATTATTTTTTGTGATTTTCTTCCTAGAAGAGTTAAAAAAAAAAAACTTTTAATTTGAAAATGTAAAATTCTATAATGAAAAATAATAAGTAAACATGATTTTTTCGAGTACATGACCAGAGCTCCTGTATCTGCAATGGTGTTGGTAATTATTTTATGGAGTGTGGCGAACGGGAGGCATTCTCTTCGCCTGTATGTGTGGGCAACTTATGTTTACCAAGTGCGAAAGTGGAAACGTGCTGCAAACATGAAGTCCTGCCGCCACCCCCTCACCTAGTGTTTTACGCTTTATAATAGGATTTGAATACAATGGCATTGTAATGAAAAGTGCAGCAAACGATGGTCTACAGACGGTCTCTCTGTAGCAAGTCGAGTTCTGCGGTTGGTTCTTTGGACTCCGGCAAGTTCTGCGATTGCGATACCAACGCTTCTCCGCCGGCTGTCCTCTTTTGGCCAGGAACAAGCCAAACAGCTGTTTCGCCTTTGTCTGTCCGTATGTCTGTGTGTCCGTCCGTCTGGCCATGTAATTTCAGTTGGTAATTAAAAGTAAAGCAAAAGGCAAACTGCAGCAACTGCCGCACATCAAGTTACCGCTTCACACGTATGTATGTCCGTGTGTTCTCTAATGCCAAAGCAGTCTTCTAAGTGCTCCACATTGGTTTTTATTCGAAAATGCTGCTTTTAAAGGTGTCCCGTTTAAGGCCGGTGTGGGAAATCTCTTTATACACTTTAGTATTCCCAATAAAGGTACTTGGATTTTTGTGTTATTTTGTTTGCTTTTATAAAAAAGTTTAGAAACTTCCTAATCGCCTGAAAACGTTTGAAAGCCTAATTAGATATGGTCGAAATATTTTTTCCGACAATTTAAAAAACGAAAAGAAAGCCCATCAATCAACTTCCGTCGACCTTTGTTGATTAGTTTATCAATTAAACGTAATTGAAATTTTATATTCATTAGCCTTTCAAAAGGGTGTCGTTAAGCTCGCTTCAATTGTGCTAATTAATGGCAAGCCTGTCTGAGAAGTTCCCAGTGAAAATGCACAGCCATAAGCGATTTCGAAAATCAGGCGTCCTAATGAAAATTACAAGGCATTGGCCCATTAAATATTTGGTAGGTAGAGGGATACGAGGAATGGATTCTTCTAATTGCACTCCGAATTTCCTTCTTTGGCAGAAGCTGTCAATGAAAATTCGTTCTTTGGCCTCTTTTATTTATGTTAATTCGTTTGCCTCGATTTCAGTTTCCTTTTTTTTTCTTTTCGCAGCGTGACGATATGCTCAATTGCTTTTGTAATCAATCAAAGTCAAAAGCGCAAAATGTTACTTACATATACGTATTGGGTGGCTATAAAGGGGCATTTCCTGATGGGATCGGAGGATGTGGAGGTTGAGGATGGGTTCGAGAGTGCAGCCAGGAAGCCCGGGGCGGAAACTGGATTGTCATGTGTGTGCTCGCGGGTCTCTCGATGCTAGATGCTCGATGCTGGATGCTCTTTGCTCGTATTTTGTGTTGGTGTTTGACGTGACACTTGAGCGACACTTGAAGCCCGATAATTGATATTGTGCAGCCCGAGGATGGGTTTACGGATGTGGGTTACGGATGGAGTGGGCGTGACCAAGTGCCTGGGTACGGCAGCATCGGATTCTTGTAATTGTCGCTGACACATTTTCGTGGTTTAGTTGCGGGTTGAAGCCGCTGATAAATCTAAAGGGATGTCCGTCAATCAGTGGTTAAGTCTACAAAAGAAAACAATTCAAAAGATAAGGGATAAGAATAATCTTAAGAGTGTTATCTTAATAAGGCTTAGCTGAGGAACATAGGACGGCTTATCAATTTTGTTGATAAAGGTTTTGTGTTCTTTGAATAGCTACAAACACAGCCAAACAAAATACTTTTCATGAAATACACCCAGTAATTTCCGTTTAAATAACTTAAGAAAAAACTTCTGAAAGACATAAAAAGTTTCAACCTGCAGAAAATAGCTCCCGACCTTAGGTTGTTTAAGTCTTGTGGATTTCGAAACCGTCTGTTGAATTTGGTCAATGTGTCAACTGCCGCACACTTAGTGTCAACTGCAGGAACATTCAGGGCTCCTGGCCCCTTAGGAAAGCCACCAGATAATTGTTAACCATTAAGTCGCACCGCAAATCAAGTGCAGCAATTGCAACTGGACTGCAATTCATTTGCGGCATGGATCATTAAAGGGTGCAAAGGGCCGAGAACTTTGGACCGGAGACAAACCGCACGCAAAGTTGCCAACGTGGCCGAAACAGACGTTACCGCCGGAACCAGTCCGGGCCAAAACAAACCGACCGCCAGCCCCTCAGGCCAACCAACGATGCTAAAAAGCTTCAACCAGAAAGTTTGTGAGCATAAAGAGTTTCCAGCCAAGTGATGGATGGAGTGAATGAGCTGGCATGGTAATGGGTACAAAAAGGATTGCCGAATGGTTTCACGCTGCTTTCAGATCCATTAAGCATTCAATGCCAATCCGGTGATGATAATAACGAGTTTGGGAATGAGAATGATGAGTGCCAGAGCGCTTTGAACTTTATCCAGGAAGGCTGACGTGCGTCTCAACTATTTCGCATTTGGAATATTTAATGTACTGAATTTTGAAAACATTATCTGTCATTAGTGTCAGAAATTATGGCACATCCAGCAAAATCCTTTTAACGCCACGGCCCAGGACTATCTACTTCTCGGCGACAGTTGATAAGTCGATTCAGTTAATAATGTCAGGCCTTCAAATGAGCAGATAACAGAGCTGACATCTATTAGACGACTGCGAGACACTTTTCATCCAGCCATCCTGCCAGCCTTCCAGACCTCTTTCTCATTAATATTAATTTATCAGTTGAGTACATTATTTATGAAATTTTATCATTTTGTTGTAATTAAGCTGCGCTCACGGGGTCTATGACATTTTAATTAAAGCCAAACCAAAAGCCGCAGTCTAAGAGAGCCGCCGCCATGGAGCACCGAGAAAAAAAACCGAAAAAGATAAACGCCCCAGTCGAATGTCTCTTGAAATTATTATCATCACACCCACGAAGGCAAACATGGCTAAAAAAAAAAGAACAGCAAGTAAAGAAAGCAAAAGTTTGGCGACAATCCCGACGCACTTTTATGGCACGGCTTTTGGCTGCGAGTGAAAATGAAGATACGAGAAAGTCCCGACCCGACCCCAAACTTGGTATCAGTGTCATGAGTGGAAGCAACCTAGAGATGGTACAAGGCAAAACTAGTCTAAATGCAAAGAGAACATTGTACAGAAAAGGTTAGGGTTAAGGCTAAGACCTAAAGCATTAGGAAATGGTTTATATTGTTGTATAAGATTCAGAGAAAGTCTTTAAAAAAACAAAGATAAAAAGTAAATTTAAAGGTTTAAAAACCTTTATAAAAGAAACAACCTGATTTTTTTGGATTTTTCGTTTTTAAAAATTTTAGATTTATGGAATTTAAAGGCCTTGTTTTTCTTGATGTTTCTCTTAAGGAGTTTCCATCTCTACCGTGAAAACTTTGGCATGTGTGAGAGTGTACTTTTCTGCTTAAAGTATGATTGCAAGTGTGAAAATATATATGCTAAACGTGCCCGAACGCCCCTCGTCGTCTTTTGCCGTTGCGCTTCATGCGTTTTTGTTTTATGACGCGGCGACGTGCTCGGAAAATGAAAAGCACTTGACGCGCCAAAGTGCTGAACTTGGCGGTCCTCCACTTGGCGCTACGTCCGTCCGTCCGCCGGTTCATCAGGCCCCAAACCAACCGACTCACAGTTGGTCCACACATGCTAAATCGTAAAATGCTCCATTCTTTCCTTCAGTTTTTCCTTCAGTTTCTTTACTGTTAAAGTTTTTATACTCTTTTTTTTGGTGGGGTAAGTAAAAAATTTCTAAAAACATATCCAAGCTTTAATCAAGTTTAAGGTATTAAATTTGATTTAAAATACTTTACTATTTTTTAAAAAATCTTTTAAATATAATTTCTCCAATTAGTTGGAATATTAAAGATTGATTTTCTTAAGACCGATTTGGTAAGAGTATTTCCCAAACGATATGAAGGACCAAAATCAGTTTCTACTTTTTCCCGTTGCCTTATTTTTTATGCGACGTGCGCTCGCCTGTAAATGGGTTTCTCCTTGGCTTCCATTACTTCTATTCCATTCTCATTTGTTCGAACAATTTAAGAAATTGTCGCCCTGTCTTGGCCCAGCATCCTGGCCACTACCTCCTGGCATAAAAAACACTATGCATGTGTGAAGTTTATAGTAAATAAAGTATGATTGTCTATTGTCAATGCTCGTTGTTTTTGTGGTTTATAAAAATTCAACACTCTATTTGCTGCTCGTCGTTCGGTCGCTCCCTCTCAGTTAATTTCATTTGATTTATATGGATTGTACAAATGGAAAATGGAAAATGGTGGTGCAAGTGGAAATGGTAGTGGAAAGGGAAATGTGAAACGGGAATGGGAATAAGAATGAGCTTGGCTTTGGATGTTGGGGTTAAGCCGTGTTCTGTAATCGCTCTTGTTGATGACGCTGATTCTGGATGCTATTGTGGTCAATAAATTACCAGCTGTGCAGAAAATCCTTTCACGCTTTTGTTCCTTTTCACACATTTGAAGTGCACTTAATGCTTTTTGCATGCACAATTCGCAATTAATTAAAACAATTATGTAGGCAGTAACACGGCAACAACAACAACAACATCGACTACAAGTAACAGGAACAGGAAAAAGGCAAACAAGAGGCCAGTTAAAATTACAAAATCCAACGAGAAAAACGAAAATTGTCTGCGGTAAAATGTCATGTCGCCTGTCAACCACACATTCCCAGTTCGAGTATTATGCAATTATAAAAATGAAAGAACAGGTTTGGTTAAATTTACAAGCCACATCCGACAATTCTTACACCTTGCTTCTTCAGTCAAACTTAAAAATCCAAAATGGAGAGAAATAGGCAAGTTTTGAATACAAAAGATATGCAATTGTTTCTGTACCTCATGACGACAACGATATCGCTAGTGTGGATCATGGAAAACGATGCAACCCCATTGATGTCATTATTGGATGGCACCATCCTTGAGACCTACAATCGTTCAACAGGAAATTATGAAGATACAAGACGAACCGAAATTGGAAACACCTCTAAAGTAATACCCACTAGATTAAGTAAAATGTTGAACCGAACAGATCAGGATATACGATATAGAATAATGTCCTACGAAGAGGAACGAAAAAGAATTAAGAGTTTATGGGATCCCGTTCTTAATCAAAGCTACGATTTTACTAGCCCTATGGATTATGACAACTCATCTGAAATAAAACCTTTTAGAATAAGTAAAAAGTTATATCTGCATGATCAAGAAAGCACACCTCAAGATATCTCAGAAGAAAAAGAACCAAATTGGACTGAGAACTCACTGTTCACTGTTCTTAATGAATATCCCAACTCAAGGGTCCGAGATAACTATTATGACGGAAATCTAACGAATGAAAATGATATTAGACATCAAAATGATACAGAACTTATTCAGATTTCACGAACTGAGGAAGATACGATTTCCAACTGGGATGACTCTTTAGATAATTTTTTTAACGAGCATGAAGTTGACGAAGAAAAAAATGCCAGGCAAATGGACGATTGTTCGAAGATTGATAAATAGAAGGTATCGACTAAGATTGAACATATTCTTAAACAAAAATATTATTTACGGAGAAAGATGTTCCATTTTCACTACCCTGCCTCGCTTGGGATATATTGATTTTGTGGTCAATCTTACGGTGGATACCAATGATTATTTAATTAAGGAATTTATTACAGCTGTCAACATTAAAGATCCGGGCTGGGGGTACACAAATAATCTACGATCACTTTTGCGAAGTAATGGCATACTAGATCAACGACTTTACTATAACCGTGGTTTTTTTTACCGCACTTCGGCTACTTTCTACAGTACGGAACATAAGTACATTATTGGCATGATAAGTGCACTGAAAAGAAGGAGTTTGCTAATGTCACGGGTGGTGCGAAAAAGAATTGAGGTACAGAAGCCACCGGGTGTGGACTGCCTGCCATCTTTGCATTTAGAATTCTGCAGTAATCCTGAAGAGCCAGTTGAAGTGTCGCCATTGGGGCACATGGAATTTTTTGCAACGATTGGTGATGAGTGTCATATAGCTGAGCTAAAAAGTATCCACTGGGGCTTTTATGATACCGAAGAGATTAGTAAGCCAGTTAATTTACAACTATTACTACTAATAATATTAATAAGCGTATTTTTCGGCCTTAGATTCTATCGCTCATGTGAAAGATGCCGCAGGGCTCGTAGTGAAGTTACTACCATACAAGCTCAATTTCGTATACGATGCGGATAAGTCAAGAATCTTTATTTTGCGGGGCAAGGCAAAGATAAATGACATCACAACTGTAGCTCGTGTGAGTGGATAAGGTCTAGGAGAAATGTATAACCCCTCAGACTTCGATCTTCATTTCAGTGCTATGTGACGTACAAAACACCCGAATTAGAGCCAACAATCAAGGGCAACGAACGTCGCAATGTCGACATACGAAAATCGTTCTCCCTCGATGGTTCCAGCTCCAAAGACAGAGTCAGGATTTTTGAAACTCTTGACTCCAAGGATTTCTTTTGGAGCTGTCAAAGTGTAGACGATCCAGCGAACCCATATTGCCATAGAGATATGTCTATGAGTAAGCATTAATATTTGATTAAAATTTATTGATAAATTGATGTTTATTTACTGTATTTAAAGGACCCAGCTTCAAAATGCCGCCTTATGCTCTGAAGGAAGGAGCTGCCTATGAATTCAAGTTGACCGTAATTTCGCGACATGACCCACAAAAACGAAAAACCTTCTCCCAAATTGTTAAGGGTATCACCAAAAGTGCCTTCACTCCCGAAATCCTTTGCCGAAGAAACTGTTATATGGGCGTTTATGCCCCGGTGGACAGTGTCCATCTGATACCCAAATGTGATGACTGCCCAGGAAAGATTCAAAAATATGAGTGGTGGGTGATGGTGAAAGGAGAGCGACCATATCTGGAATCGCGGTACAAGTATCTGATTCTACAGCACAGTGAGGCTCATCTATCCATTCGTCTGAAGGTGTTCCTGAAAGGCAATAGGTGGGCAGAGGCCTTTTACACTCTGCGTCGGAACGATGGACCTACCAAGGGAACATGCGATATACTGCCAACTATTGGCCTCGAGAGCTTGACAATATTCGAGATCGAATGCCTGGGCTTCGAGTCGCCTCACTCCCCTCTAAGCTATCGTTTTACAGTGCCTACGGGTGTTGTGGCTTCAAATGTTCCATATACGAAATATCATCTCACCCTACCTGCTACCAAATCGCTCTCAATTTCCATATGTGATACCCTAGATATGTGCGTGGACGAAAAGCTTAATCTCCTTGTGTTGCCAATAGATATTCGATTTGTAGGTACGGTTTCCCAAGTAATGGCGGATGTGCCGAAAATGTTTAAGCATGGTCACTGGAATAAAGCGTATACCAGGGCAGTAGTGGCCACCAAGTGGATAAGTACATCGAACGATGGAAGCGACCTCTATTCTCCTTTAAGGAATGAACAGGGCTCAACGGGCTCACAGCTGGAGCAGCTTAGCTCGCTGGCCACTCACATGTTGACCAAGCTGACGCCAATCGATTATAAAGATGCCATTATAATGGGTGAACTTTTCAGTCAGATTAGCGATGTCTTTACAGCTCTCCTTTCGGAATTTGAATGGCTGCATAGAGATGCCTACTACTCATTAACAGCCGCACATATGTACTTTATGTCCATTCTTGGCAAGAAATCGGAGCCTCATTCACTGGCCATGTGCAAGACCTATGATCCAGAGTGTTTAAATTTTGAGAGACTTGACTTTGAGACGAATTTCGAAATCGAGTTTGATCCCCTGATTCTACTGCGCATAAATAGCTGGATGATGAACACATGGTACCTGTATAAGTGCGTCTACTTTCTAGGCGTCCTGGCCACCAAACGGCATCATCCTTACGATGACGCCTTGAACATCCATATGGGCGGCATTGCATATCAGGTAGAAGTATTATTTTAAATTACATCCTAAGTTTATATAAAAATATTTTGCACTTCTTCTCCCAGATAAATGTAACGGAGGTAACGAATAACGCCAAAAAGATCACCCTGTCAACAATCGACAACATACACGTAATACAGTTATCGAAAAAGCTCCTCTTTGAATTGAAAAAGAACCTGAATCATAGCACTATTCTGTTCCAGACTATCTCGCAACAGAACCACCATAATATATTTTGGTGGTATCCGGATCCATTGCCCTCCAAGACCAGCGTTCTTATCATGCATGCCTACAGTCCCGTTCATTTCTTTGTGAGCGCAGCAGAGAACTCATTGGACAATCCCTTGGTGTACAAAACAAACATTAGCCTGTTTAATGATGAGTCCTTGAGGCATTGGATGGCCAACAGTAGTATCCAGAACAGTTCCGAAATCCACATATATAGCTTGATGCTGAACACCAAGGCCATGTTGGCGGTGCGAATTGTTAGTTGTTCGGAGCTGATGTACGTTAAGATGAGATTGCACAGGTGGCCAACGCTTAACCAGATAAGGCAAAGGGCTTGTCATATTACACCCCGATATGAATGGCAAACGCATTTGGATGGCCAACTCATGTAGTCGGAGCCGGGCATATGTAGCCATTCATAGACCAGGTATTATCGAAGATTCACAGAAAAAGGTGATAAGGATGCGAGCGAATAAATATAAGGAGTTTCAGGAACGAGAAAACGAGCGATGGAAGAAGAAACAACAATTAAATTACTCGATACTCCTGGAGATATATCAGTGCAACTTCTGGAAGAATCGTTCGTTGGACCCCGGCTGGAGCAAGGAATTTTGCACGACAACCTTTGAGCACAGCTATGGGACATCCGTTCAGTGTACCTGCCACACCTTGGGCACATTGTCCTCACGCATTTTTCCCATCTCAGCGGAATTGATTGTGGAGCATATACCCGTACCTGAAATGTTGATATTTTTGATAGTGCCTTTAATATTCCTACTGCTCTTTGTGTTGCTGATCCTAAAGTGCGTTTTTAACTTGGACTATATAAGTGCCCATCTCAGGGAGCCGAGCATGCTGCACTGCGAATCGAACAAGGGAAAAGTGGATCGTTGGCAAAGCGATGGACCCGAGATCCTCCTTGTGATTAGAACTGGTGGTCAGGAGTTTGCGGGCACTACATCGAATATTAAATTCTACTTCAAGTCGCGGAGTCATCCGCAGACATCGTATCAAATCACCCAGGATCCTGGACATCCGAAATTGGTAAGGAATAGCACCAATATATTGGTGGTTCCTAGAAGCACCATCTATATACCGACCCGTTTGTCCCTGGGCATCACTAGGAATGGCCGGTATCCATCATGGTATTGTCGGTCCGTGACAGTGCTCGATCTGGAGTTGAATATCGAACAATTGTTCGTTGTCGAGAGGTGGATTGAGCGGGGTCACACCCATTTCATGAGATCAAAATATTTCAGCTTTGGTGCCTATCATAAGTTTCCGAAGTACACGTGGTGCAAGCGCTTTAGGATTCACGTAGAGAAGTTATATGTCAGTTGGTTTATGATTAATGCGATCACGGGACCCTGGCACACTGACGTTGGAGGTATTACCATGAATCGCTTCGAACGCACCTGCGTGTTGATCTGTAAGACTGCTACCACATTGGCTGTGGTCACCTTGTACTTTGGTAAGAGCACTGTGGAGTCCATTCAGGAGGAGACACGGCAGAACATCGATCATAATCTTAAAATGAGCCTGGTTGCTGCCTTGGCCTTCTACGCATTTATCGTCGGCACAATTATACATTTTCTGTTTGAATTCGTTATATTACGTTGGCTTTGGCCACAGGTTTAGTTCATTGTCTCAATAAAAGCTACGTTTTATTGATTTGCAAGGATTGGTTGATGGATTTATTCATTCATTTGCCATATATAGACGTAACGACTGGATTTTGCTAGCAAGTTTTTAAATTGAAATACCCCCAATTAGCACTCGAAGGGCTCTCCGCCTTCTGTTCTAGCCACTGTATCCGACCGGGCCTGGCCTAATGGATTTTTCCACGCCTAATTACCATTACTTAGCCGAGAAAGGGGCAAGAAAAAAAAAACACAGACACCAACGTAAAAATTGCATTAAAAATTATCGCTTTTTTTTAGAAACTATGCTTTTGGTATATTATTTTTTGTAACTTTAGTGTGTATGCAAATGGAATTTCATAGTCACCATTAACACCTTTTTGCACTGTCTCTCCTTCACACCTGTTTCTTGTGGTCCCTGCCATTTTTTTTTGTTCGCATATTTTATGTGACGTTGGGTGAAATTTAAAAAAAATAAAAATGCATTTAATTAAATGCCACACAAATGCTGCGAAAAACGTTTTCAACGTGTGATATTTTATGCCAGAAGTCGGTTTCTTTTTTCCTTTTTCTTCCCTGCTGATGTTCTCGTTTCTCATTGTCGTGGGGACAGTCGAAAAATGCATTTTCATAACGTTACTGGGCATTATAAATGTGTTAAGTTGGGGCGGAATGGGTCGTGAATAGTTTGCCTTTTGAGGAAATATTTCAGAATGTCCGAAAAATAAGACTTTGGGTAAAGTGTTGAGCTTAATCAGTAAAGTTTAAAGTTTCCTAAATGTTAAAAAGTAAAGAAATTATTAAATGGCTCTGAAAACATAGATCTAATATCCAAATTGACCTAAACTATTGATAACAGCTGTAAATCTGTTGGCAATTTCGATGCATTTCAATCATCCACTTCAGTATTCAGCCTTGAGGCTGTAACGCATTCGTGGATTTTGGAAATTTTAGGCAACAGCTCAATCTGCAACCAGTTCCGATTTTGGCTTACTTTCTAGTTAGGCATAGATTTGCAGTTCAACCCACCCATTTGCCTGGAGTGATTTCATCTTTTTTTTTGTGTTTTGTGAATGTCGTACAGAGGATGCAACGAAAATTGTACTGAGGGCACGGACATTATTCTCTTCACTCTGCCAGAAGCCCAAGGAGACGGCATACGCAGCTGAATTTGTCATATTGTAGTTCTTTGGGCTGCAATGCCTGTCCTGTGTGCCCGCTACTAGGAAAGTTTAAACTGGGCATATTTGGTGAGGGAACTAAGGAGGCATAGATATTCTAAATACTAGACTAATAAATCCACCAAACTCATTTTATTAGGCTAATAGGATCTCCAACTGACGGAATATTAATTTTACATTGCATTTTAAACCAAGTAAAAAATTTCTTCATAATTATGTATTCCTTTTATAAAAATTGTAATAAAACTTAACAAATAGAAATCGAAAAACTGTGTAATAGGTATCAGAAAACCGTATAAACCTATCATTGTACTTGATTTTTTTTTCTGTTTATGCGTTTTTCTGGAGCCACAACCAGCCGACAAAATTGCAGCCGACAGTTTGGCACATTCCCATTTCGAGGAGCTGGCATAACAACGCCCACTTTTTGGCCACTGTTTGCATACGTGCCCGTTGTGAAATTGCCTGGGCGCACTCCTCAAATCATTGGCCGCTGCCACGCCCACCGCCTACCGCCTACCACCTATCGTAGCCTGTGGGAGCGCAACATGTTAGTGACACAATCGAAATGGAAAACGACATGGAACATGGCAACAATAACGAGCGGCAATAACAAACAGCTTCGAATTTTCACCCGGCCATGAGACAGGTAAGAAAACCAAACGGAAATTGAAGTGTGAAGTGTGTGAGTAGATTAGTTATCCTGAGAATTGTTGCCGTTTGGCAAATTTCCTTCTGATTTGCGGCACTCACTCGCCCTTGGACGACACCTTTCAGCTTATGCAGCTTGCACAGTTTTCAGAGTCAAGCAGAAAAAGATTTCGCCCTCGGGGCGCAAACACCAAAAATGAAATTCAAAGAGAAGTTTTCTGTTTGGTGCATAAGCAGCTCTGGCAAATCTCCCGAGGATAGCTACCTGTATGTATATATATATCGGTGGCAGTTTTTACTTCAACCCTATATTCGTTTTCCCACCCATTTCCCAGCGGTTTGTTTACACTGGCAACGACGCGACACTGCGGTGGCACATAGGCAAATGCTGTTGCAGAAACTTAAGTTGAGCCAGGTAAATGTTCAGATTGAGTGACTGTCAGATGAGTTCTCTTTCAGTGGGATTAGTAGACATAGCTGAAAGCTTTTAAGTTTTTAATTATAACTTATAGAATTGAGAAAAAAGAATAAGAATCAAGAAACATTAAGGGTAATTCAGATTCAAAATAAAAATGATTCTTAAGTTAGATACACAAAGTTATTGATTCTATTTATCTATTTAATATTAGTCCTGCGTTTTCTTTTATTTAATTATTACTTAGCGAACAATCAAAAAAACTTTTAAAATTTGTCACTAAGAAAGTGAACTGCAGTCATATGGCCAAAACCAAACTGCTCATGCAGAACGTCGCCAGAGTCGTCGTGTTTGGAATTCCCAGTTTTCCAACTTCCTATTCCCAATCCACCGACGCTCTCTACGGCGCATTGCACATACCGTGTGCCGTGTGGTGCAGTTGAGTTTCGTTCACGGTATTTTGCCTATAAAATTTTCAAGAATTCGTTGTGTCAATTGTGTACCCATACCCTCTACCTCCCTCAGCCCTTTGCCTGTCTGTACTGACTTGTCTAGTTGGCAAATACCTTCTTACAGCCTTAAATTTTGCTTAACAAATTGGCATTTTTATTGTGACGGAACGGAGGGCTTTAAGCCAAACACAGAAGTCGTTTGCAGCTACATTTTGCGCGAAATTGTGGCTGTAGATGAAAGCAAACCATCATGTCTGCATTACATGGGGCGTATGCGTAATTTCGGATGCAGTAAAAATCCAGCTGCAGATGTTTCGAAGCACGAAATTAATTACGGAAAATAAGTACACACATACGCGGACGGAGACTGACGCATAATAAGGAAAAGGACCAACACAAGGAACAGCGCCGGAATAATAATAATAAGTAACAAAAATAAACTTTACACGCCCAAGAAAAGCAGCAAAAGGAAAAGCAGAAGCAGTAGGAGCCAAGAGAAGCAGAAGTAGCAGTGGCTATAAACAAGCATATGCTAAGGCAGAAGGCATAAAAATAAATCCGAAGAAGGGAAAACTTTTTGATATTATCTGACTACGTTCGTGTGAGTGTGTGTATGTGTGTTAGGATGGATGTGGCAGTGTGTGTGTCTTGCAGATCAAACTCAGTTGCCTAAGTATCCGTCAAGAAGGACTGAATAAAGGCTGTGCATCTGACAGCTGTCATAAAGTTTACTTTTAAATATTAAATCTATCAATAAAATGTATTGTTTCGATTTCAAACTAAACTATTTTAATAATTAACGTTATCTTCAGCTATTCTTATTAAATTTAATAATATGGAGCCACTTTTAGACAAGATTTCTATCTTAGTCATAGTATTTCCTTTGTCTTGCCTTTCATCTTGACCTGTTTTCCTTATTCTTATTACTGGGTTTTTGCCTTTTAAGCATTTTATTTCACTGGCCAAAGGCAAAGGCCGAGCTCAGAGCTTAAGCATAAAATAAAGGCAGCAATTAGTGCTAAATAAAGAAATCATAAAGTGTAAATAATATTTTTCCAGCGCAAATGAAAAGCAAGCAGGGCAAGCCACAAGACGCCATAACAGGCCTGGACAGAAAATACGTATTATTTACGGCTGTCATTGTTTTGGCATTTAAAGAGAGAGAGAGCGAGTGGAAAACTCTTTGGCCGACAGCTAGCCATCAGTTTGAAAGCCATTAGTTGTTACACAAAATATTTAAAATAAAAGGCAGAAATTTGTCTAAGCCCATACCCTGGCAAATGGGCATGAGTGATGAGCAAGGAGTGGTCATTTCCTTTTCTTTATTAATTGCTATTAAACTTTAAAGTCTAATATCTCAATTCTGATTGACATTTTAGTAAGCCTTTTGTATAAATTTTTCTTATAATAATTTCCTGTGAAAGCTTTCTCGGCTCGTTTGTACATTTGCCAACCGACTTGTCTTCATTCGAACCGAAATAAATCTCAGAGAGCACATGCGAAATGCATTTCCTCATGCACAATCTAAATGAATTTATGACTACAATTCACAGAAACTCAATAAAATATGACTGTTAACTGTGAATTTGTCCTCCATTCAGATTGCATGCATAAAACCATCAGGGAAACCACCGAAATAAAAAAATCCTTAGATATATATATATAGTCTATCTGTAGAGGAGGAGCGTACAAGGTAAGAGTATGTCTCTTGGCTTTACTTGGCGAGTGCGAAGGGGGGGATGGGGACAATTCCTGGCGGGAATCACGTAACGAAGTGCATTGTTAAAATATAATAAAATTGCAATTTTGCGTTCATGTTGCAATGTGGCGTCATATCCTTTTTCCTTTAATTTTTCACGAATTCGCCATTTCGTAGTTCCGAAAAACTGAAACTATCCAACACTCCGGCACTCCGTATCCCCTCCCGACCAGTCCTTGGTCTTTTTTTTGTGGTGAGGGGAGGGGGCGCAACATCCTCCAGCTTTCTATGCACACTCCATAGATTTTAATGCAATTTTCTCAATGGCGGGCGGTGGGTGGCTGGCCCTGCCCTAGCAGCCCTAGCAGCCTTTCTGCGTTTGTTTGAGTGTACATATTTTTATTTTCGCCGCTGTCATTGTCGCAGCTGCCAAAGTCTTTGTTCTTGGCCGAGTCGAGTGGTGTCGCGTCCGAGTTTCGAGCATCGCAAAGAGCTGGGGACTAAGAACAGAAAACTGGGTACTGGGTATAGGGAAGTGGGGAAAAGTCAGTAGTTGGGCGATCTGGGTCCAAGTCCAAGTCCAACCTCTACCATCGGCTGGTTACGTTTAGAGGACAGTGTTGGGATTTTTTAGCTTTTTTAAAAGAATTTTTTGCAACAGTTTCCATTAAATATTACAAAATGCCAGAACACTTATATTACACTTTAAATATATGTCAAAATTAATGCTAAAAACTAATTAGATTTATTAAAAATATTTAGTATTTAAAGATATTTTTTCCAAATTAATATAATATTTGACAACACTGGTAGTGGCTGCTGTTGTTTCCGAATCGCTTCGCTTCGGTTTCGGTTCGGTTTGGTTTGCCTGTTTGGACAGCGTATCCGCTTGCTAGTTTCTCTCCGGCTTCTGGCCATATTTCTGCACTCAATTGTCCTTCAGTGCATTTTGCGGTGGTCTCTATTCTGCTTTCTGCATTGTGTTTGTCATCTCTCCCTCTTAGCCAGAGCTGTAAAGTATAATGCCTTTGTTTGTTCGCGCAATAAAAAATGATTACTTTAATTTCCGAGCCACATAAAAAGGCACGTCTAACTTGAGAAATCGCTGTCATTGCCGGTTTGGTCTACTCTCTGTCATCTAAACTGGCTGCATTGACCGTAGACCTGCATTGGGAAATGCATTAGGTGGCTCTGTCGTGGGACACTTGCCACGGTTAAGAAGGTGTAATCGCACAGATTTTGCTTTTATATATGCTTTGATTAGAGCACTTAAGCGAAGGCTGCTTCTCTTGTTCTTTTCTTTCTGATTTATGTTTAAAGATAATAGAAAAGATTTTGACTAGTGTTATCACTTTTAAAGAGAAAGAACGAAAAAACGAAACTTAAGCATAAGTAGGCCTTAAGTTCTTAAAAAACCCTTTTAGGATTTACTTCTCCAAATTAAGTAGATATTATGATCACCTTAAATCAACCTCAACTGCGTGGTTGTGTGTATGAGTCTTTTCCTTTTTGTGCCATTCATTTTCTTTTTAGCAATCGTAGCTCTCCAAATGCAAAAATATGCCTGCCAAGTCAGTAATTTTTTGTGGTCTCCTTCTTGTTTGTGTTTCCCCTCGATTTAGGTGTTTTCCTTCTTTGTGTTTTTTTTTTGTTTGTTATCTTGGCCCCTTTTTGTTCGCTCTGTTTTGTGTCAAACCGCATTGGGCCACAAAACAGAAGTCAGAGCCATATCCTGGCAAGAGGTCCTTGGGTCGCCAACGCGCTGAGCTGCTAAGCGAAAACTTTATGCACCAAATTGTTTTCACCTGCTGTCCCAAATTTATAACACCTCACCCACTGCCAGGGCCTCTTCTTTATATATATAAATATTCCCTTTTTTTTTTTATTTTTATTTGTATAATCCTTTCGGTTATGGGCCACGACATCCGCACCCGCACCCGCATCCTTTCTCTGTGCGGAGAGGCCGAGTAACTTTCGGGGATGACAGAAACCAGCAATGGAATTTGCGAGCCGGCGCAGGGATTAAGCGAAAGAGAAAAACCGGAGGCGACTCCGAAATGCGGATTCCACTGTTCACTGCTCACAATGCCGTTTTCCCCCGAAAATCGCCAGCACAGTGGGCTCAATACGTACTTGAAGTGCTTGAGAATCTTGGGGCATCGCTCTTCACTTTATGACCGCATCTCTTACTTTGCATAATGTTGTTAAGCAATTTTTACGACACAAAATACTGAGGGGTCACCACCATTCATAATGGCCGGCACACTTGTTGTGCCCGTCGGCTACTCGGCGAAAATGGGAGTTTTCTCTGGTACTGGTGAGAGTCAGCGAACACTTTTGAATGACCCTCATTAAACGACCAGAAATTATATTAAATTTGCCAAGAACAAAACGCCCAGCGGCAGCAGTGTGGCGAAAAATGTTTGCTGCATAAAAAAGTTGTAAATATTTTTATGCCTGCATTAATATGCAACGCCAACCACTGTAGGGGCGGCCCTGTCCATAGCAAACTGGGTGTGAGTGGCGGCAGGCTGGAAGGGATGGTTGGGTTTTCCCTCCTGGCTTGCTGTCGCTGCTAATACCACCGCTAATAAAATCTTACTGCCGCAGTACCGTCAGCCTCCTCCAGATTCAGCTTCGGAGCCATGAAGCACAGCTGTGTGCAGTCATTTTTACTGCTGCACTGCAAAGGCATAGAAAGTCGAGGTTATAATAGGGATCCCCCTCCGTCTAATTCCCTTCATCCAAATATAGGGGCTGAAATCTAACAGGGCGTGGCCAGATCCAGTTGAAGCCAAAAGGCCAAAGTGCTTAAGTGGCCAAACTTTGTTATTAGATTGCCGGCGGTCACTAGTTCAACACAATGATCTTTGGCCGGAAATGAACTGAGCTGTTATTCAAGCCACGCACTAAACTAATTATAAATCAGTTGACAGTGATATTAGTTTAAGAGAAGTTTAAGAAAAGATTTTCCTAAACGATTAGATTAATTTCATTGACTTAGTCAGGCATTTTAAAGGTTTTGAGGTTCACTTTTTCTGATTACTTTATAATAAATACAGAATAATAATTTTTTTATTTAAGTTATCAATATTTATATGTGCTGATATTAAATCCTGTTAACAAGCCAATAGTATGTTTTTGTTACCAAAAACACATTTTAATGGCCATAACAAGAACCTGCAGCTTCCGTCAGTTTTATGCATGTCAGCGCTTTGCTGTCTGAGCCCGCTCATTTCTTGTCATATAAACAACGAGGTAGAACAGCATTTTGCAGATTGCAAACATTATAATATTCTCATACACAGAGGGAGAGAGATGCCCTCTGACAGCTCAAGAGTCCTGCCTGTAGCCCTGTCTATCCTCACTGGCTCTTTGGTTCGTATCGTATTTCTTGCTTTGTTTGGGCTGTCTGTCTAACTGTCAGTTCAGTTAGCTTTTGTTGGTAATTATTCAGATTTTGTTTGCATTTCATGCATAAATAAATCACCGAAAATTGCGACTCAAAACTATAAATGCCAAGTCATACATCTGTCACTATTTGGAGAGAGTGGCGGTGCTGGGAAGTTGGATAATATTCTCGGACCCGGCACTAAAATGCAGCTGCCTCTCATTAGTACTCAGTCGGTTTGCCACGCGTTCCCTTACTCTAATTTAATCAAGTTGAATGGTAAAAGAAATTACGCTTTCTTTTTTTTCAGCGGGTACTTCAAAATATATATAAAAAAAACTGCAAAAAAACGATGAAGGAACGGAAAATTACCATGGCTAACAACATTTTGGGGCCGGGCGTCCTTTATGTAAATTGCGGCCAAATTAGTGAGTCAGGGAAAAAAGAATCGCAGTACAGGTAAAGAAAAACAGACACTTAGAGGTTACTAAGACAGCTTTGGTCTGCCGGAGATGACTCCGTTGGAATTACTTAACCGCCGGGCAAGTGGGTGTACATAAAGATCCATTAGATGCTTTGGGTAAGTGGTTAAGCGACAACATCAGTGGCTCCATCATATCTTAATTTGCATTGAAATTAAATGGCAAATCAAGGAAACTCAAAACAGTGAGAATGCTAATGTCCAATGCATTTCACTTCCCATAACAATAGCGATTGCAATCTAACGAATACATTTTAGAAATAAGACAGAAATAATTGAGATATCAAATAGATGATTTCTCTACTATAAGGCCAAGACAAGAAACCTATAAATAGTCAAACTCCCACTCTCTGTCTCTTCATTTATCTTAAAATAAAGGCGTTTCGGTAATGATTAGAAGATACATATGCCTCGATGAACTTGATGATTTGATTAAAAGTTCCCGCAAAATGTGCTTTCCCCACTTAACCCGAAAGTCATTAGGGGTTTCCATTTAATTCCCTAATCCACAACATCCTTTTCTTCATCCGCCCCCTTTGCCAAGTGTATTTGGGCCCGAAATGCTCTCTCTCTCTCTCCCTCAACTCTTCCATTTTCCACTTTCCACCGGCTACAAAATAATCCCCAAAGCGCGCCTTTCTTACGACCCAATCCACATCGTTCTCTGGCCCCATAGACGACTGTCATCAACGACGTCAAAAGCGCTGCCCGCTGAGCCAACAATTAACAATTAAAACCCCAAAGCGCACAACTCAATTTTGCAATACACACACAGTGTGTGCGAGTGGGGCAATGCCAATTTCATACATATATATATCTTTATATATATTGTACAGATAGCAGGGGATAGATAAGGGTAACCCACAACAACAATATTCTGGCACCAATGGGCACTACTGCCACGTCTGAGTTCTCTGTGTGCTCATCGCACTTACAACTAAAAACTTGTTACGTATTTAATTGCAATTAAAAAGTTGTTTTGTAGTTACGAGTGTTGGTGCTCTTGGCTTTCTTAGTGGGCGGTTGGTGGGTGGGCTGGCTGGCTGCCGTTGTTTTGTCAGATAGCCAACAACAGGATGGCTTCGAAATTGTCTCCAATAACAAAACCAGAACCAAAACCCCAAAGACTCTGAAGCTGGGATGAAGTCATTACAAGGCGAAATGAAAATGCGTGGAAAAGAAGCCAAAAGGGTTTTCCGCTTAATGACTTTGATGGTGTTTTCGGTGCTTTTGGATAAAGGAACCAAAAATCCCCTCCTAAAAACACCCACTGGCTCTCCTCTGATTTCCAACGATAGCACTCATTAGAGTTTTGCGATTTTTGGCTCAAAACTTTGCCCATAACAATTGGCCATGGCCATCATCGCGATTTTGACACGAAACACAAAACCATTGGGAAATTCACATTCAAATAGAAAGCAAATTGTCTGCTCCTTGGTCTCGTAAATAAATTACTTTTATTTGATTTCATTTCATTTCAGAATTTCAGAAATCTTCTTGAAATTATTATTTTTGTGCTCTTAGCCTTTTTTATTCATATTTTTCTTCTTAATATAATCACTATTATGTATCTTTTGGATCATGGCTTTATATAATGGCTTCCATTTGAGTGCTGAGATGGTAATCAGTCTATGGCTAGTTATCCTTTTAAAAAAGGCCTAGCCAAAGAAATTGAATAGATTCTCCTGCTGCTGCTGTTGCTGCTGACCACCACCTCCTTGCTGCTCTTGTTGCTGTCCTTCGAAGAACTCGATACCGCCGCCGAAAGGACCTCTAAGGATGACTCCCTCTTCCTGCTGCTGCTGCTGTTGGCCACCTCCAAAGCCGCTCTGCTGCTGTTGTTGCTGTTGACCCTCAAACCGCTCAAAGTCTCGAATCAATCCACCTATAAACTGAGCCGATGAAAAAGCGAGGAGAGTCACAAAAACGAATATCTAATAACAAAAAAACATGAAATAAATTAGAACACTTTAATTCACCAAAATGAGCTGAGAAACATCAGGATCATCTTAACATACTCACCACGAATTTCATATTGAATTTTCGAAGTTTATTACTCCAGTCGATAATCTTGGTTCGCCGAATTGCTGAAATTCAACTGTTTGAGCTAGTCTGCTGGCTATGTGTATTTATCTGATTTTTGTTTGGCTTTTAGCCACTCAAAACTGGTTGGACACGGGCCGGTGCTCGGACTTCCCTCTAGCGATGATCGTTGATTTTTGTGTTCAACGGGGGATTTTTTCGGCTAATGAAAAATTTCAAGTATCTGGAGCTGACGGGCCCACTAAAAATACAGGTTTTCAATCACTGAATTTATGATCTTCGTTAATCAAATTAGTTAAATTATTATTTGTCAGAACATTTAGCTATTTCACAATTTTGCATGAGTCATTTAGTTTCTTTGTTTTGATCTCATAAGCATGTGCACAATTGTTTGGGATTCATTGTTATTGCTAATGTTGTTAACATTGCTGAAAACTTCCGCAAAGTGACGATGAACTTATCATACTATTAACCTCTAAAGTGATTTTTGATTAACCAAATTATTCTGGGGAATATTTTACGACTACTGGAACTGGTTTTATGGTTATCGAGTTAATTAAAATGAATTTAAATTTCAAAAATAGCACATTTCGGCAAAATGTTATAATTTCTCTCCTCGATATTAGAGGGCATTTTATATTGCTCTTTATGTATATTAGAAATCCAACTAATAGAGTTATTTTTAAAGATTTAAAGAAAGCTTACTGAAAGTATTAAAAAGCAACTCAAAACCTTTAAATATAAAAACTTCGTATGGTCTCTGAGTTATGAAAATAAAAAAATCACATTAAAACACACATTGTTTGTTTTATCTACTATTTTATTTTTAATTTAAACTATTTTTGCTTCAACGTGAAGATTCACATTATGAAATTGCTTTAGAAGAAGCCTCCCTGCTGCTGCTGCTGTTGCTGGTCGAAACCTCCTCCAAATCCACCAAATCCTCCTCCAAATGATTCTTGCTGTTGTTGCTGCTGGAAACCTCCTCCGAATCCTCCAAATCCTCCTTGCTGCTGTTGTTGCTGTTCACCACCGAATCCGCCGCCGAATCCTCCGAATCCAAATTGGGGCAAAGCGGAGGCAAAGGCAATTAGAGCCACAAAAACGATCACCTAAAGTGGGTTTTGAAAATGAAATAGTCCTTTTGGTCCTGGGAGTTATCAAAGTAACTTACCAAGAATTTCATATTGTATTTGAAATTAAATTCGATGTGAAGAAATATCCCAATAGATGAGGATGCTGCGACGTTGCAATTGATACTGTGCCCTTTCTGTCGAGTCTTTCTCTATTTATACGATTTTTTCGTTATCATCTAATGCTCGATATTCGGAGGTTCTTTACCCGCAGAGGAAAAAACTTGTCCCCAGACAGTGGACCAGACTTGGGGGGCTTTCCTCGCAGCTGGCCAGCGTTTCTCTTTCAAGCCGGTTTTGAATTTGTTTTGGTTTTGTCTGGTTTTTGTTTTTTTTGTATTATTTTTTTTCGTTAGGTGAACAGGCACCAGGTGCGTGTCCATTGATTTGAATTTTAACAGTTTGCTATCTGTATTTAAATAGGATTTTTGGAATTTATGACAAAGTGGTTTCGAGTGTAGGGGCACGTTTCTGAGAAAACCGAAATGTTTTTCCATTTTACTGACTTGGGTTGAATGTAATCAAAACGCAAATACTTCCTTAAATCTAAAGATAAGATAAGATATCTTAAGATAATTTCCAGTTGATAAGGTCACTCATTTGTTATATAACGAGACCACTTGATGTGACCTACTGATTTTGTATTCGAGCAAAAATAAATGCAAATGAGTTCCAGCAAAAAACATATTTTTTCAATTCGGTTACATTTTGTAAAAAGATAAACAAATTCCATTGACATAATCAAAAGAAACTTTGTCGTTTTCGTTATTTTGTTGTCGTTGATTTCAAGAGTTGTCCAAGCAAACGGAGCAAACGGAGCTCACTCAATAGATAAGTGCTGCGAAAGGGGGAATCACCTGCGAGTCTCCGCTTCGAATGGGGAATACTTGGGGAGCCAAAAGACCCTGGAAATTTTTCCGTACCTCGACGAGGGTGAAGTGAAATTGCATTTGGTTGTGCGGCGCCAGCGGCAATCGAGTTTGGCAATACGTGTTGCCTTTAACTTGGCTCTTAACCCTGCCAGCCAAGAAGAGGGTGATGTGAATGACGCGGGGGACGACTACGTCGACGACGATGACGGTGTCTTTTTGGCATACTTCAGTGGAGCGCATAAAGCCCTAAATGAATTTATTTGGCTCATTTAAAGCGGCTAATTTATTTTTATTTTCATTGAATTTGTGTTTAGTCGGGCAAGAGTTCCTCGCATTTTACCCTCAGTTGGTAAGTAAGCTGTTTAGTGACTTCATTCGCTTTTAAGTTAAAACGCCTTGCAAGGGAAACCCTTTACTTCAAATAATCCTGCACTTCAAGCCTAATCATAGAGCGGTCGCTTTTCGAAATGTGCAGTAATTTTGGTAAAATGTCTAATGAACCCTTTTTGGCAAGCCTAGGCTCTCAAAAATTACAAAAAAATAAGAGAAAACTGTAGGGGCAACGTCTTCGTCGCGTGTCAAAGTTGCAACATTCAACATTCAACGCTATTTGACTCCTTTGATGGTGGCCCAACACGACACCCGAAGCCCTGCACTCAAATTTGTTCAAATTCATTTCAATTACCGTCAATTTTCAATAATTTTGTTCAAATTATATTCCATTAGGTTCAAAGACCAAAAAAATAAGCTTTGCATAAACATAATTAGCCTTCGCAAGGGGCATTCTTTGCTCTTTTAAAACTTTAACGAAGTTGAATATTTAATAGAAAATTTGCGTCACCGAAAAGGTAAACAACTTTGGGATGGGAACCGATGACTAAACTAATGAATTTAGAACTCAACATGATAATTTATTCTACCAAAATCAATATGGGTTTTCAGAGTATTATTAATTTATCAGGTATGTAGTAAACCCCCTAATACCCTACATATTGTTGGCCATCCTAGCAGTGTTTTCTTAGTTCCCGGTTCAAACTTCGTTTAATTTTAAACTTTTGGGTGGCAGTAAGTTCGTTTGACTTTTTCGGCACCCCCGTCGACGACACAATGTCTAAGGTTATTTTAGGTGGCTGGCAATGCATTAGCCCTGTCAGTATTTTATGCCCTAACTGCAGGTGGGTGGCTCCATTTCCAACCATATGAATTTCACATGCTTAAGCCGCAAACTTATGTGCGCGCACAGCTTGAAATCCACGCTCACGTAAACTTAACTAGAAACTAAACCCGAAAGAAATGGTATTCCGAAGAGGAGGATGTCGGCTCTGGCTCTTCCGTATCTGGGTGGTAGGGTGCTCAATGCTGAGGAACTTTTGCCAACATGTTAGCAGGGGCTTAGGACTTAGAACTCGACACTCAACAATTTTTGAGTCGAGTCAATGAGCAATTGACTGCCAACGCACCACCGCCACCTGCCTATATATAGATATGGTATATATACATATCTGTGGAAACTTCCTTGCACTCTCCAGGCATCTGCATATTTTTGCGCAAATATGTTTTAATATGGGTTAGAAAAGTTTCCCACTGCACTTGCTTCGCCTCTTGTGGGTGGTGAAGTTTGCCTCTCCTGCCATTTTCTTTTCCTTGGTTATTTTTCTAGTCTTTTTTTTTTTTGGCTAAGTGCACTTCCGGCTGAAACGCGAAGAAAACTGAATTTTACTTTTTGATGGATGTTTGTGCGGGAGCAATTTCGAAACCCAGCTTGGAAGAGATTTTTGAAGGCTTTGACTTGATTTTCTTAATCCCTATCTAGGTTGATTTTTTTAGTACGGGTATCTAAGGTTCAGGTATGTAGTTACTTGCTGGGTAATTAGGTTATTCAATAAGAAGAATAGAAGAAGAAGTTTTTACATTAAAGATCATTAACAAAGTCAACCAATAAATATTAATTTTGCCAAAGGTTTTATTCGGAGACTTCATAAGGTTTATTGGAATGCTCCACTTTCTATGACTTTTGGCCAACATATAGATATATAAAATAGATTCCTATAACTTAATAAGATATTCATCACTCCATCTGCAAACCCTTGTATCCAAAGTGTCCTCGCCTCATTCACTAATTGTATTTCTTCACCTAAGCAAACTTTTGCCTTTAATCCCTTCGCCCGGCGACCAACAAAAGCGGCCCGCACTTTGGGCCGCTCTCGAAGATTATGTCGCCTTGGTTTTCGCTTAAGTTGAGCCCGAGTAGTTGCAGTTTGCAGTGGAAGATGCAAGTGAAGATGCATCTGCGGAAGATGCCGACGAGGGGCTCTTAAAAGTTTGGTTTTAATTAAAGGAAATTTGCGTGCGTGGCACTTGATTTGTAGTTTTCCAGTGCTTCCGTGTGTGCGGGCAGGTTTTCCTCCCCTTCCTTCTCCTCCTCTGTTACCATCACTATTACCATGGCCTACCCTTAAAAGCCCCATAAAAAATATAAATATAATTGAAAATTCTAAATTGCAATTGCCGCAAGTGCTCCTCCATTTGCAGATGCCAAGTTTTCGAGTTGCCAAGATGCCGGGAGATGCTTCTAGGCTGCTGCAAATGCGGGCCTTCTCGGGTTCTCAGGTTCTTAGATTCTCAGGTCTGGGCAATTTCTTGTTCCCGGCTCGTAATTAGAAGCAAATGCAAATTTACACTTTGAGTGTGTCGGTGATGACGGAAGTCATTGGTAAAACCTGAAGCTGTGGGCATGCTGAAAGTTCACTCCCTGGTTACCTCCTGTTTGTCGCTGTGTATTAGTGCAGATATAATGAGAAAAGTTTCAGGTAATTCGAGTAAGAACACTTCACTGTCGATTCAATCTATTCCAGTGGTATTTACATCTCCTCATTTTATGTTACCAAAATTATATGATTTTATGAATCAGCAGGAATTTGAATACTCAATAATATTTAAAATTTAATATCACATCCTGGAAGGTAGTTAACTAACTTATTTATATTTCTTCTGTATAAAATGATCTTCTTGAAGGTGACTTGCTGTATGTTAAAAACTTTTACTTTAAGTAGAAAATGGATCACATTAGGGTTCATTAACACTTTGTAAATCTCATATATTTATAGATCAAAAACCTCTCGAACTCTTTCCCATAAAGCAGTCATATTGATACCTGATAACCATAACCCTTGCCTCTCCATTCCATTTCATTTCCGTACCAATCTATCTCGCGTTCTATACAAATGCACCTCATTCGTGCCAAATTAATTACCGCAAAGCTATTAATCAACAAAAGGCGAGATAACCGACAGATAAACGCGTCCTTGATTTTCGGTATTAGATGGGTAGGAAATGGTGGCGTGGCTCGAGGAAAACCCCAACGAAAAAGTTAATTTGGTGTATTAAAAGTAGCCACAGTAGTAGCAATAAGTTGTAATGGCCACAGGACGATAGACATCAGCCAGTGGTTGTGGTGGTGGTGTGGAATGAAATCCTTTCAAGCGTGAAATGTCCGAAATGGAAATGGAATTACCATTTGGAGAGTTTCCTCTTTTGACTTTTAACTGATGGGCAACAAGTGGAAATGAATAAATGACTGGGGGAAAGTAATTAAAATCGCTACGTTGTCCGGATTGCCTATCTCTGGGCTTGCTGAGACAAAAAACTTTTCCATATTTCAAATCGAGATTTGGAAACATTCGTTTCTCCTGCGGTCGCCAAGGCTATGTTGTCAACGTTGGCTTATAAGCGGCATTCCGGTTGAACGCATTTTCCTCAATTGGGCTTAGAATTTGCCATACGGCCCACACCCTGAGATGCCACCATGCCATGGCCTCGTTTGATCTACTTCTTAGTTGGTTTTTGCCTCACAAGCTTTTTGATGAGAGTCTGGGGCAACCGCAGGTAAATGAGTTTTGATATTGACATGAATTATTCGCCTCACTAAGCCCAGCAAATGGGGGCCTGTTTGATAAGTACTCGTATCTATGTACACGCACCTGCAAACATTCTTAAGTATTTCCACTTGTTAGGGTAGGACTTGATAAATTAGGCTTTACATTTTAATGGACTTGTATAAGAAGAGTGAATAATGTTCAGAATAATAGTAGTAGATCCTTAGAATGTTTTCTAACTAAACAGGGAATGTAAATTAGGTATAAGAACAGATTAAAAAGAGTTTTTTGTTTATTTTATTAAACCAAATTGATTTTTTAAAGAAAATTAAACACTTTTACATTTACTACAAAAAACTGGAAAAAATATATTTTATTTTCTTTATTCTACATCACAAATATTTCAGGAACAATTCTAATTTTCCCCAGTTTTGGCTCGAACCATCATTACATACCATTCATTTTTAGGCTGCGAGTATGTCAAACTAAAAATTAAGATTGAAATTTAAAAAATATTAAGATATATATTATATATATCAATAAATACCATAAATCGCTATCCTCTGAGAACCACCAGCCGCCTTTATTTTTAACAGCTAAGTTCGTTTCGGTTCCAACATTGTTTCGATCGAAAGTCGAAAACTTGGAGTTGACTTGAGCTTTAATGAAGAGCAATCCATCGTTCGAAGGTTTACCGACAGACTTCAGCCTGTAACCATCAGACTCCCCTCCTATGATGAAATTATCAAAGTGATTTGATATTGTTGAGTTGTCCTCAAAACCAGCCGTAATGAACAATTCATGGGGCTGTGATCGCGTCATTAAATACAAAGCTTCTAAGCCCCAGAAGAAGGATACTTCTCCAAATCCATTTTTATATTCAGTCCAATTCCGATTAAAGTTTTCGCCACCTTGATTATGCAAAATGAGTGTCCAGCCGTGACCCAAAATTTCTGAATCGCACAGCACTTCAAAGGACTTGGCTCCAGGGACCTTGATTCGCTTAACACCTTGAGCATTAGGGATATCCATGCAACTGGTGGGTAAGCCCAAGGATTCCTCTGAATCCTCTTCCTGGTTACAACAGCTCCTCAATTTGAGTGCCCTTTCGTTAGCAGTCTTAAAAAGTTCAATATATTTCTTTCGTTGCTCTAAAATTTTTTCATTTAGTTTTGTGACCGCTTCTTCCGATGCATTAAGTTTATTCGAGAAATTTAACTCCGCATGTAGCTGATTAATTATAGCTTTATTATTATCAAGAGCTTGATTAAGCTGATTTAATGAATCGGTTGAGTTGTTATCTTCCTTGTTTTTGATTTTCAATCTATCAATTTCAGCCACATATTTATTTATCTCAACTTTCTGCTCTCTGATTGTTTCCTCCAATTGCGAGATAATTCCGTTTTTTTGATGGCACTCTCCAACGTACTGAAGCAGGGGCTTTATGGTCGGATAGCAAACGGTGCTGCACTTGTCTTCTAGCTCGTCCGACATTGAACAGGACTGACAAAAATCTTAGTTAATAAGGAAATCTTAAGAATATTAATCAATAAATACCTCAAGATCTTCTTTGAGGTCTCCATAACAAAGTGATAAAGTCAGACTTATAGTAAACACAGAAATCGCGTATTTTAACATATCTTTAAGTTAAATTAAAAATCCGTGATTACACCAATGATTCGGATTGAAGACTGACTTGATATTCTCCTGAATGTTAAAATGCAAGCTCTTGGCTTGTCTATCAGCAATTTGCAATCGCAGTGACAAGGTTCAACGTTCCCCTATCAGGATATGGCCGCTATATAATACATAGGAATAAAAATGGCAATAGTAGGGTATTCAATGCTTCGATTCGCATGGCTTGTCCTAAACAATGTATCAATTTGTACATAAACTTCTTTTATTGATTTTTGAAGTATATGTAGTTATAGTTATTATATTTCTCCTTGGAAAGGAAAACAGAAATTATTTTTATGCGATAATAAATTTAAAATAATTTAAAATTTATTTAAAAAAAAATATTTTTAGTCGTCTTTTATAGGAACTATGAAAGTTCAACTAAGTTTTCATAGAGGGCGATACTTTTTGATAGGTAATCCAAGAGGTGGCGCCTATATATAATTTACGTTGCATCCCCAAAGGTATGCAATCTTTTTAAAAACATATCTCAAAACTTCAAATAAAGTCCAAGAGATGTCGCTGTTCACAAAGCGTTTAAAGCTTAAAAGCTGTAATTCTTTTTACTTACCACTGAATTCCGGCAGATGGAGCTAAAAAATAATTAAAAGACAATTTTCTTTAAAATGATTTTAAAAAATAAAGAAAAATGTTTAAGATGGAGAAAAAAGAGGACGCACCACCACGTTCATGATCTCAACTATATATACAAAATTATTTAAATTACTTAACAGGCCAATCTGTTTTTCTAATTTCTTATTTTCCCTTCAGCAAATCTTAGGAAAAACCACAAAATGTGCCCACCACAGACATGGACTGTATGCAAATTCCATGGTCAAATGATCAAATGGTTCACTATGCCAGCTGGTGGGCTGCTAAAAAAAACCAGCGATGGGAGATCGCAGAGAACTCAACCCAACCAAGAAAGAAAATCCATTTCCCCCACCGATCCCCTGGTGCACTTGATACCACCAGCACCAGCACCAATACCACCGGGAAAATCGCTTGCATGACTGGGAAACTGAGGAGTTGGAACTGCGTCAGTAATTGCTGTGGCACATTGAAGTGTTCCAGTTTCGATCTTCCTCTTCTCTCTCGGGATCCATATTATTCGATTCGGGGATCGCCTCACGCACACCCATCGACTATCGACTGGTCATGCAAATCGCAGCCACTTGCTGCATGCCACTTGCCGTTTGCCACTTGACCATGCCTTGGCTACTCCTTGGCATACTGAACTCGAGCATGACCAGCATTTGGCACTGAGAAATATTTAAATTGTTTTAGAAAATCGGAAAAATCAGTTTTGCCAAATTTTCCATCGTTGCAGTTTTCTATACATAACCTTGTAACATTCCTCTTCTGGCAAGAAATTAAGAAAAGATAATCAAAAGGAAAATCTTATCAGAAGATCGAAGTAGTAGTTAGACAAACAATTTAATCTCTGATCTAATTTATTTTCGGTGTGAAATTTCTTAAAGCCACGCTTGGCTACCAGCTGAAGTTTTCCACCATTGGGCGCCACTTGCTGGGCGTTCATTGGGGCAACTTTCCAGGGCCCGGGCGAAGGCTGACCTTAATCGATTGTCGTTTAGCTGCAGATTTTTTCTTCGTTTGCCATCGAATGGGTGGAGGTGCAGGGTTCTCCTACCAACTTGCACTTGGATACTTTTACCCAAAAAGCTGCCAAGTCATTTCTAATTGACCCAGCTAAGAGCCAAGAGGATGACGTTAAGAATAATGTCTCATAGTGCAATGATTGATGTCAATCCCCGGGTCGCCCTTACTCTCTCTTTACTTCTGTCTCTGCGGCAATTGGGTCAACTATTGGAAAAGCATTTTGCAATGCAAAAAGTTCATTCTCATGGCCCGCAGAAATGTGTCAAGACGCTGGCGCCTGGAGGTCTTTTAAAAGTATTTCCATTTTCTTATTTTTTTTTCTAAGTTTCAGTTCGCCATGCAAATTAAACTTAATACGACGTACTAAGACTCGGCGAGGCAACCAGTTTCTTGAGTAAAAAAAAACAGAACGCACTGGTCAGGTGGAGAGGGAATGCTTCACGTCCCGGAATCATTTACACCTGTTGCCAGGCCGATAGTTTGAGAGTTGGACTATTTGTGGTCTCCTAGCTCTGTGCTCGCAGGGATTAGTGTTCATTTGAAGTCTTAATCGCAAATCAGATTTCCATGGCCTCTCCATAAATGGCACATGGTCCATTTTCCACACTCACCTCGGCCAGTCGGATTTTTACTCTCGTGAGAAGTGGGCTTAAGTTGAGAAGTCCTGGAAAATAATTAGATTTAATATTACTATATTAGTAAGTTTCTTAACTCTCTCTAAAATAGTTGAAATTTTAACAAGTATCTGCCAGTCCTTAAAGTTAATCGCTGAATTCGATACGTTTGTTAAGCAAAACGATCAAAGACATCTCAGGATATATGGTGATGTAAAATGCAAATAAATCATTACATAAAAACACACCTTTGGCTTCGACTTCCAACCTTTCTCTGGAGGGAAAGAAAACACTACACTCCTCTCCTTAAATGGCTATTAAGTTTAAGTTTATATCTTCCTTTGAATATCAGATCACCTGGCCTACGGTAAATGATCTCGGCTGAAGCCTTTTGCCAGCCTCCCAAACGAACACACAGACCAGGCTTAGGAAACTGGCTCGAGTCTGTGATTAGACTAGTTTTTAATTTTTATGCTGTGTTTAAATATTTTGTGCCACACCTAGGCCAGGAAAAAGGCAACAAGAACGCCTCGTGTGCACTTGTTTCGAGTTGCAGGTAAAAGCAGCTGGAAGCCAAATTTAACGATGACATAAATACTGAAGATAACGAGCAGCAGGTGAGCCCGAGCGAGTTTCCCTCAAATGGTTAAATCTTAAATGTAAAATCACAAATAGTCTCCCCTTTTAAGTTAGTCACACACACACACTAACAACTAAACTGAAGTACGTTTGCAGCAATGTAAATTTAATTAAGTGCTCGGACGTCTACGATTTTGATTGCAGTTGGGTGCGAATGCCAGCTTGGAAATATTTTACGTTAGATAAATGTCCAAGGAATTGGGAAAGTTTGGAATGGTTTTAGTTTAACTAGTGTAAGGGGAATTTAATGGTTATTTTGCTTTTGATTATTATATGTGAAGTTACTTAAAAAAGAAAGATTGATTTGCCCAATACTTGTTTTATGCCAAAAATCACAACTAAAAGCAAATATCTACTTTTTGATACATTTTTGCTTAAAAAACCCTGAAATAAAATATTTGTAAAATTAGTTAGCAATTTTTTGAAGAATTCTAGATTAAGGTATATATCACCTTTCATAGAATATCGTCCATATATAGCATATATATAATCCAATTCATATTTTCCAACAAAAATGCAAGATTCGAATGCAGAAAAAAACCATCTTCTGCTCGACAAAGCCCGCAGCTCTCCGCCTAGCTGCACCTTATTTTTCGCTGCTGCTGCCACAGCCCAGCCAATCCGTTGCCCATATTTGTAGCATGCAACAGTTTGTTGAACATAACTCTGCCCGGCCGCCGTCCCAGAAGCTGTTGTTCATGTTCAGCTCTTGCCGTTGTTGTCGTTGAGCTGATAACTGGAGCAATAATCATGCAAAGCACAGTTAAATGAAGTCGCGCATGAAAAGCGCCAGCATAGAAAAAAGTCTATATATATACGAGTATATATATCATAATGAAAGCAAGGAAAAGCATAAAAAATAAATATAGTTTAGAGCAAAAAAAAAAAGAAAAGAAAACAAAAATTAACAAGAGAAACGTAGTAGTAATTGGCAGTCGGGTGAAGGAAAGAATTTCTTTGGAAATTATATTTTACAATTTCAGTGAAAATGGCCAAGAATTAAGAGTTTCGAGCTTGCCCCGTTTTAATCATCGGTTGCATGCAACATAACATAGGAGGCAGCACAGCCAGGCAACCTGTTGTTGTGCTGCACACACGACTGAGCAGCACAGATGATCGAGATTCGCATATCCCCCCATATGCCATTGGGTGGGTTTCTGGGTGTTGTCTTGTCATTATCTTGCTCGACAGCATTAATCAGACCGACCTCCTCGCTCTACTCGCCTTCTAACCATTCAATTCCATTCGAATAAACCTATTTAATTAGAATAGATTCAGATTTCGATTCTGATTCCGATTCCGATTCCTTTTCCCACTGACTTTAACCTGAAACAAATTCGAACGTCGCAAGGAGTTAACGAGATTTTGATTTATTTCATTTCTATATTTTAAATGGCAAAAAGGGAGAAAAAGAGCTGTGTAATGAAATTCTTAGTTTTATTTCGCACTGTCGCCGGCAGTCAACAATGTCCAATGTTCTATGAAGATTTATGGCAACCAATTGACCCAAGTTTCGCCAAGGTGCTGGCCCAAGAAAAGCTGTCAATTGGCCGCGGAGGGTGTCGGCCGCAAATTGAAATTGAGTTTCCAACGGCAGAAGAAAGGCCTCGACAGTCGGCGAATTGCGGCATTGAATGGGCGTTATTTGATGAATTGTTATTGCCATCAAATTTATTTTGTGGTTTTTACTTATAGAAGAAATTTTATGAATCCAAATTTAACGGGAAATATTTTTAATAATATTTTTTGGACTTTAAATGTTTAAGTAATAGGCTTTTAGGTGTTTTTAGATTATTGTAGGAACTCAAAACTAGACTTTTAATACTTGAAGTTTTCCCTTGTTAAAAAACCTTGCCTACAATCTAATTACAGCCCAGCCGTGGCAGCCCACGTCTCAACCTAAATCCAAAAACAAAATTTGATTAATTTCACTTGAATTTCACT